ATTCAAATAAATTTATAACAACGAAAGAAATTTATACTCGTCGATGAATTGCATCGCAATACAAAGATATTTCGTCGAAATATTCACAATTATCGTTCAAGGGGAATATTTCTAAGTTAAGGGAAACTTGTCGTATTCGTTAAATAGCTTAGTACGCATCCGTGATGTCTAAAGGGCAGTAACTGACCGTGATATTAATTGCTTTCTGGCTATTAGCAAATGGGTCCACGGAGATCTCGCAAAGGGAACGGCCATCCCCTGTGCGACCGTTTGCCATTAACATTAGCGCAACGTGCCATGTTACCTGGCACGTTACCATTGCAACGCGTGCACGCGCTTAAATCGCGCGCAACCGGAACCGGAAAATGCAACATTGTTTGAGAAATGCATGACGAATACGATATGTGGAGATAGCGCACAAAAGAAAGTTAAACCTAACTCGAGACACATTTCTCAGACGCTAATCTTGAGGGTTAATTCTGACTCTTGGCCTCTCTTGTGGGTTAATTCGTCTGAAGCTACTATAGCTATATTTGTGAATATGGTATCGTATTGTTAATCTACTTTTGAGGAATAATTGTAATCCGTTGTTTGAATTCTATACTTAAGATATGGATCTTAATATTCGATAAAGATATTACGTGTATCATAAAATAATGGCAAAAATCTTATCCATCATTGATTATGAGAATCAATGAGAAACAACTATGAATATAATGATTTTTATTTCATTCGCATCTGTACAAAAAAATTAATCCAGAATATTCGTTGAATTGATATCGTATAAATAACGAATGAAAACGTCGCAGAAATGAGCCCGTATTGAAAATGTTTCGGTTCGGATTGTAAATGTTTCGAAATGGTAAATGTTACGTATGACAAATGCTTTTTCTGTCGCAACTACATATTTGCAGCCCACGAAAGTGGGATTTGCGTATTCAAAATAGTTTTCGAAAATTTGCTAATGCATTCGTAGTAGATTTTGTCAATATGGATTCATTTGCCAACCGACAAAACCCGGTATGCAAATATACAAACGTTAATTAAGTTTCGGCGGTGTATATACGAAGGATATGCGTATACGCATTATAAAAATGTTACCCGAATGGATAAAGCCAACGTTGACAAATGGTAAGGGGGTGGACAGAGGATGTAATTCGGGCGAGCATCGTTGAAATTTTCATCGCGTCGATAAAAACACACTCGATGAAATGGAAATAAATTTTCGAGTGTAATACAAATGTATTCAATGTATTGGAAACGTTTACCGGGAAAATTTACAATAATAATTAACAGCACGGAAACTCACTAAACGTGAACATTACATACGTATGCATAAACACAACATTTCATCAAATTTTATTTTTCGCTTCGATTAACGGGTACTATCTGTTCTTCTATTACTGAATTGCCATTTGACAAAGGTAATCGACTATTGATGAACGTTAATCCCTTTTGACCTAATTTTTTATCCTATTTAATTTTTATTTTATTCTATTTTATTTTATTCTATCTAAATTTACGATACTGTATTGATGTAATATGTAGAGAAAATTTGAAACTTCTAAAGATATTGATTTGAAAAAATTACTAGTCATCATTTTTAAAATAATTTTCAATTTAAATTCTAAAATATAGAATGGAACGTATGAAATTTAAAATTTTACACGACAAAAATTAAAAATTAAAATCTAACTTTTATTTATAAATTTGTTCAATTATGATTATAAATGTTTCGATTGTAAAAAACGAGACGTTTATTGCGTTATAAATGTATTTGTTGTCTAAATAAAAATTATCTGGCATGTTATATGTAATATATGTTATATATTGTTATAATTATTAAAAAGAGATAAGAATATATAGTCATATATTAATTAAAATTAAAACTAAATAAAATAATACATATACGAAACATATATAATCTTATAAGAATTAAAAATATTCATAAAAACGTACATACGTATCTACTTTTCTCTCTCTTTATTTGATTTATAATTTAAAATTAATTAAATAGTTACAAATAATAAATTTTTAAAATAAAACGTTTTTAAAAAATTTGATAATTACGAACGCCAACTTTAGATGTCACTTTTTCCCGCGCCATAATACTTGACAATACATAACCATAAAATAATAAAACGTAAATCGTTTTTGATTCGTTTACGTGTTATTTGATAATTAAATCATCAACACGTTAAAAATAAACAAATATACTTTTGAATTATAAATATATACTCTACTAAGAACGAAAAAATGAAACATAAATCGCTGCAATGGGAATGCATACATTCCCTCCAAATTGATCGAATACATCTCTAAAGATGTCGGCGGTCGGCATCAACTTTGATAAATACTTTGATTGATTACACTTACCTTGAAAAGCAGCCTCGAATGTGGTCTTCTCCTCGATAGGATTCTGAGCAAACACCAAGACAATCGCCAGATGAACAAGGATCACGAAAAACCGATAAACACGAAGTTCAGCCATCGTCCTGCGATGTACATGCACGCGTTCGCCCCGACTGAGTTCACTTTCGCATTTCTCGCAAATCGAACTTCTCGATCGACTATCGATTATCGCGAGTTCACCGTCGCGTAGAGAGCACACTGATATCGCGTTTCGATCGATCAGCGACACTTCTCGATTTGAATCGATTCTATAAATAGAAAAAACGCGTATGAAGATCACTGTATAATAACACTAGGTAGCGCGGAACACTTTTTTTTTTCTTTCTTTTTCTTTTGTATGGACAATGCGAAGGCACTCGGTCAAGTGTCTCGAAACACGAACGTATACAACCGAAACATTCTGAGAGAACTACGAGATCGTGTCAAGGAGACATATATCGTATCGAGTATATGGCAATAATAACACGGCTACGGCGTAAAAAGTGGACAATTGTCTGCCTTCCACTTTCAGCTTGTGTATACACCGAAGCATGCCGGGCCAGCTATTCGTGAATGTACACTAATACATAGCACAGTCGCGTACTTTTAACCTATGTCCTTTCGTATCGTGTGTCCTCTATTGGTAGAGAGCTCTTTTCATGTCACTGTCTAGTTTAACATTCAATTGTGCGTATAATGAGATCTCTTACCTATATTTGTCGTACTTGTTACCCGTCGGCAAATGATCGGTCTTTATTTTCCCGGATGATATCCGATGCAAATTCACTACGTATGCATATCGATATTAATCGATATTGCATCGATATTGATCGATATGCATATTTTATAACGTTCAAAGAGAAATATTTTTTTGTGAAAAAAGAAGAAAAAAAAATTGAAACATGAAAGAAATAATGAAATTTTAATACAATTTTGAACTAAAATTAGATAAAAATGTTAGTATTATTAAAGTTGTAAATATATATATAATTTTAAATAAATCGAGAAATATCGAGAATAATATCAAGAATAATATCGAGAATAAAGAAAAAATAATAAATAATGGAAAATATATTTAAATAATTAAGTATTATTTATTTACACCAATCATAACAATTTTTATGATAACATATTTTGAAAAATATTAAAAGCATATTAAAAGCAGAAAGTTTAAATAGCAGGCCCGGTGAAGATCATAGCAAACGCAGCTTTCCTCGAAAGAAAACTGATAACTATTTTATTTCGACGCGATTCTTCTTGACACTACCAGATGATTTAAGCTCAAACATAAACTATCAAGTATGTCGAACAGAAGTTGAACTCTCTACCTTCCTTAATCTTCATATAGTTCAATGACCACAATTGAACTGCTTGAAACCATAGTTATGTCACACGAATCGGAACTACGCAATACGATCGACAACGCCACGGCACGAACGTTTGAAATCACAGAAAGTAATAACTGTATATACACCACTTTTCGCGATATATTTACGATTATTTGATTAATTTAATATATTAAAAGAAAAACTCAATGAGATAGCTTATTAAAGACACTCGTAAAAGAAATATTTCACCGCGATAGAAAAGGAAGGTAGAGAAGAATGATTGTAAAAGAACACGGAAAAGTAACGATCGGAAACATTCGTTTAGACGTTGTACCTATCAAGAATGATCTCACGATCGTTGTTCAAGACAAAAGAAAGAAAGATATGATTACTAAAGAGACTTTAACACACGCGCGAACACGAAAGTGAAGGGAGCTCCACAACAGCCGTCGATGCCGGCCGGTGTCTCCAATCGAACTGCGGGGGTTAGTCGACGGTGGCGCCGCCGAGGGACGCCGAGCTTGGCCGTGTGGCATGCGTCATAACGCCACCGCCTTCGATCGGCCGCCATTTTTTTTTTGAAGTGCGTTACTAACCCCTTGAAAACATTTCACCTCAAACGATCGGAATTCAGAACCGTAAACTTTTCGAGAATAAAAAAAAATCAGTTATATAATATATAATTTTTTATATATGTAATTGAAAAAAAAAACTTTATAAACATATTATTATCATTGTATGTAAAATTTTAGGAAATATATGTATACAAAGATTTATCGTTGACATCGAAGTTTATATACATATCAAGCTTAATAGTAAAATGTAAAAAATGTTAAAATTTACCATAAAAGATTTTTCTTTAGATAATATTTTCAATTTGAAAGAAGTAGAAAGATTTAAAGATAATGACAAAGTTTTCAATATAAATGAAATACATAATATGCTTGACTTATAACTTTTACTTATTATTAATTTAAATTCAGTTTAAACCGATTAACAACAACCTCTTGCAGTTAATCGAATTCAACCACTATCTTATATTCTATAGGACTTTAACGATAAACGGATAATCTTTGCTGTAGAAAACTTAAACGATGAAAATCTAGAACGAATAAAACGAAATAAAATTATAGATGATACAATAGGATTGAAAAATATTACACATTGAGAAAAATAATAAGAATATTTTTATTTTTTTTCTTAAATTTTTTTTTGTAATCATTAAATATAAATCAAATTTTGAATTAAATTTATCAAATTATATTATTTTTTATATAACACGCGATTCTATATATATTTTTATTCATTAACAATCAATAACATATGAAAAACACTGTTATATTGGTTAATTAAGCGCAATTCCATAATACTTTCACAAACTTTTGTCTGTATATTATGTATAGAACAACACTTATCATAGTACAAAATAAATCTAAATATGTGTAAAAATCGAAAGTATGCTAATACTGTAAACGCTATATTATAAATATAGTTACTCTACGTATTATCCTATCGAAGAAAAACTTAAATATAAAAGCACCTTGCAAACAACATTCTTAAAGAACTTCTAACAATAAGTATATATTGCGAACACAATATTATTGAACTATACTTTTCTTTTCTTTTCAAAAAAAAAAATTAAATATATTATAATAATAATTATAATAATAATAATATAATTTTTTATATTTTACATATAAACCATACTCTTATTTTGGACGGACATTTGTACGAATAATTTGCACGAACGTTTATTCAATTGTCAAAAGTCAGTCTACTAAGTAAGAGAAAATAGAAATTAGAAGTGAATGAAGATCTCTGAGTTGATGAAAGAAATTGATATATATATTCATTATACTTTCGTTCGTAACAAGGTAATATTAATGTGCATTCCTACTGTTTTAATATGTTTTTTTCTTATTCAATATATCAAATAATATATACCTATATATTACTATATATTCACGCTTTGAAATTGTCCCTGTAAACAATAATTAACTTTCTCTCGACTCAATATTTTATTATATTTATTTACGTATAAATAGTCACTCACGCGGAATAAACAATACGCGAAATAATGAACTTCCTAATATTTCTGACACAACAACTGAATTGCATGATGGCAATTCAAATCTCATATTTAATTTACCGTTAAATATCAGCTTAATAATTTTTTATGGTTTTTGTGAAAGTAGTCCATGATTCTTCTATTGGCGCCAATACCGTGATTACAATGAGAGCCGCAGCAAATAGGATGATTACGACAAAGTATATGCCGAAGATAAATTTCCTGATCCCAGCATGCTATTGAACAGAATGAGAAATGAATCCGCTGAAGATTTTTAGAGATTCCCGGCGCATCACGCCGATTCTTATTAGTAAGAAACTTACAGGAGCATCCTGCCTTGCATCTGGATGGACCATTGAACCACGAGAGTGCATATCTTTCATCGGGAATGAATTCACCCTTTGACTTGCTTGTCTATCAGAGGCACATCCAACGAACTAAAAGACATATTGATTTTCCTCATTAATAATGCTTTAAATAATAAATTTAATATAGAAACTAATCTACAATTAGAATATTGAATATCTCATATTCACTCTTGTATAATTAAGAAGATTTTCAACAGTAATAATCAAACATGAACTATATTAAATATATGGATTACATATGAGATCAAAGAGAAGTGAGACTGATTTTTCTAAAATAATAATACTCAGTCATGAATTAATATGAAATTTAATCTCTTTAGGAATAGATTGAATGTTTAAAGCAATTTACTGTTTGTTTATTAGAGTAAGAATATTATATGATAATTATAATTCAAATGACGTATAAAAAAAAATGATGCAATATTTTGAAAAATTCAAAAAGATTAATAGAACGACTAATAACAAAAATGTATTAAGAATAATATAATTGATCTCAAATCGATCTTGACATACATATTCATTCGTTCGTAAAACTCTGATGACCTTCTTAATCTTTTTCAATCATTTTACTACATTTTTTTAAATAGATATTCAAGAGATACTCATTTATAGATTAAAATAAATCATACTTTATAGATGAAATATATCTACCAAGTTCATATATATCAAATAAATGTAAAGCAATTTTACTTTAGAGATATCAAATATCATTCTTACCGTCAAAATGAGGTGAGTCAGAATATGGAATACTACGTAGGCGGCCAGAATCCAGTCTACCCATTCCGGGAGTTTGGCCTTATTCACTCGAACCGCGAAGAACATTGCAATTACTGTGAAAGGAATTTCAATGCGTTGATTAATCCATTGTTAATAGAAATAATGGAAAAAAAAACGAAACGTGCACAGTATTCAAAAATTAGAAAAACTTACTGCTGCAAATATGCGCTGCATTTCCAACAAACCAATGCACCCAATTGAAAAGAGATCTTCGTGGTGCTCCTGGATGAGGTCTTGCAGCTGCCATAAATGGTTGAATAAAAACTAAAATCGTGGTGGCTAGTCCCAAAGACGCGTGTATCGTTTCGGAACTCCATTCTCCCAATTCAACGAATATTATTACAAAGGCAGCAATAGTCATCGACCACGTCAATATCATGAAAAATCTATGCCACTTGAGTAGACAAAAAAAGAACAAAATATTTTGCTTATAATTAATATTTAGTAAGTATCATATTAAATTAAAAATTGTAGATAATAACGATGATATTATCATATTTATACGAATACTAGAACTTGATACTAAATAATCTTCTAAAGTTAATAAGTATCATACTTCAACCATCTAAGATATGTTCAATATTATCTTTGGATATTAGCCAAAGTTAAGTGTTCTTCTGAAACGTTTACATTCTCGAGTTCAACAACGTTAAATATAACAGCTGCTATATAACTCTTTAAAAAATGTAACGTGCACTGCATAGCAAAAGCCATATTAATATAAATATCCATTAAATTAAAAATATCCAATCATCGCATAAAATCGATACGCTTAACGAATTTCCAGGAATCACGATGGCAATTTAATTCCTGTCATTTCATTATTATGAACGAAATATTACGAACATATTTATTATCCAGACTGTACGTCATAAAGCAAACAATTCTCACGACAATCGGTACAATTTCACCCGATGTCTCCCAATTAAAATCTGATTATATAAAATGATTAATGCACTCGATTTAAATTACAATCACGCGACCATGCATCGATTGTTAATTTTCAGAAAGAGCAACTCTGTGACATTATCAAATTGCCCTTCTATTCGTGGTTCCTTCGATTAACCTCGATCGAACTCGTGAACCCACAGACAGGCGCATCGACCCACCAAATAGGTGCCATCACACACAACCCCTGAGGTCGTTAGTTTCACTGGATCGAGATCTTACAGGCAGCTTGTGTTTCGTGCACGCGATTACGGGAAAAATTGGATACTTACAGCGAACCAATGATCCTTTCCACACAACTGCGAGCTGACCCATGTCTGCCTGTAGTATCTAGCAAGAAGCATGCCGATGGACGCTGTACCGATCCAAGACGCTAACATTAGAGCACCGTGAACACGAATCAAGATGTTACTCGCCGTAGTAAAATCACCAACGTCGGATAATAACTTTGCGCCACCCGTAGCGTCGCGTGCCGTATCATGATATCCAATACCATTAGCTAGTATTTTTTTTAAACGTTATTTTCTTTTATCGTGTACTTGTATACATTTTTAAACGAAATTGAAACGTTACATACTTTTTAAACTTTTACCAGAAGCCACAAGAAGATTGTATGGTGTATTGACGAGGTCATATTCGCGGCCTTGAACGACAGTCATCTTCTCTCTCCAAAATTTGCACGAGATTACGTCATCTTTGATCGAACTTGCCTCTAATCCAACGGCTCCTTCCTGCTGCAAATGAAATCATAAATAGAGCAAGGTCACGATGGATTTCTCGTAAACCGCATCAACATAATCAAGAAATGATCGATAATAATGATATTACGCACAAGCGAAAGTCGGCCACCACCACGAGGTTCAATGAATCAAGATTGTATTAATTTCATCTGCTCGCATAATATTGACCTCGATATTAATAGACGAACAGAAATCTCTTCTTTCGTTAATTTTAAAAATTTTTTCAATGTCAAATAAGTATAAAATTAATATAAAATTTATTTTTTAAAAAATTTTAAATAATATAATTACTATAATTACAGAATAAAATTCATTTCTGTTCTTGGTCATTATTATGCGACATTTGGTATTCTGCACCATAAATATGATAAATAGTGGAATACGCACCATAGGCTGACGTATATTCGATTTTCCAGAGTTCCAAGACATATATAATCCAATTTCTCCTTCTTCGTTCACACATTCAACTACACTGTCATCACCCTGCGCAATATATAAAAGATTGAATAATCATTCATTCTGGAATTACGTTAATTGAAATTGGTATGTTAAATCTCTTAATATTCTTAATCAGAAATATAATCCACGTATAAAAATATTTCTATTATCAATAAAATTTACCATTTTACTATCATCAGATAAACCGACAGCGACGTATTTACTGTCACGTGCTTGCAATTCAAAAAGATATCGTTCTCCATGAACGAGTACAGTCACTGCCGCGATACAATTCTTTTCTTCTATGCATCCTGACGGAGTACCGAAACAATTTTTCGTTGAACCACATCCGGTATAAAAGGGATCCTCAGTGTTCGTCGGCTGAAAAATAAATAAGTACAAATGCAATACATTGATAAATTGTTACATTTGCATAATGAATATAGAGTAAATTAATAAATTATTGTGCAAACAGTAAAACAATATTCCTGAAGTACAAGAAGAATCAAGAATGGAGATTAACTTTTACTTCAGATAACTTTTACAATTTCACTAAGAGAAATCTTCCACGTGGAAGTAGAAGTTCGTTGCGTCGATAACCTTCAGATATTTGATATGTGCAATTATCTTATCTTTAATATAATCTAATAATCCAAGAAAAGTAAAGCAATGCGTAACATATGAATAAACATTAACGCATAAAATTAATACTGCTCTTGAATCTTTGTACAAATATATTTATAATCGCATTTCTGGTATGGTCGAGAGAAACTTTCGAAAGATTTCCCAAAGATTTATTTTCATCCAAAATAACAAGATATTTCTATTACGAGAAATCCTACACCGCGATATATGTGTGTGTTGAGAAGTGATTTTACGTCGCAGCTGGTTAATGGAGTAGTTTCAGTCACTCAGGGAACTCTTCAATAAAGTTTCCAAGGGAGAAACTGATGAATTCATTCGCGTGCCATCTTTTCTCACGTCGATCTCGTTTCGAAAGTGGACCGGTATCGAGGACGATACCTAAAAAAACACATCGACCTGTATCTTTTCATTCATCGAGGTGTTACGAATTCTCATACCTCGTATTCACAGGTGCACGATACTCGAGCCGAGATTATCGATGAGAGTAAACAACGACATTCATGATGCGACGTTCGAAACGCAGTGTAATCAACATTCAACACTTGAGCTCTTAAAGACATCGGCTCGATGAGCAAATACAATACAAATGGCCACGAATGACAAAGGAGGCGCGGAATGGTCGAAGTCTCAAGAGGAGAGATAGGAAGTGTGACGACCGACCTTCAACTTAGACACAGTTCGCGAAACAGAATAATTGCCACTCCAAGAATCAACTTGTTACTACTCCACTGATGCATTTCCACACCTTTTTCTCCTCTTGTTTCGATCTTTTTGTACCGAACAATTTACCTTATAAATATGCACGTGTGCAAAGAATTTGATGTATTAAATGTGCACGGTTTAATTAGATGATTATTTTACTTGAATAAAGATAAGGCAAACGCGTAATCATATCAGAGGCTATATGGGATACATAGTTTTTCTTCTTCGTTCAACAAACGTTTTACACGTTCGATATCCAGAGGTAGAATCCTGGAAAAAAAAAGAGAAGTATAACGTTTCATTCGAATCGTTTAAAATACTACTCTGGTCGTTTATCGTCCCCCCTTTTGTTTCACGACGTTTCACCGTTTCGCCATTGGCCCACTTTACTCCTCGGCCGCGTTGATAGAACGAAGATAAAGTCCCGTGGAAATAAATCGACAATGGAGCGGACGTTGGCAAAAATCACGGGGCCCGGTTGGATCGTTCCGATACACGAAAGTGAACGGCGAAAGTACATAAAGCATAAAACCGAGAGCGTATCCCGCTAGATGGAAATTATTATGCATTTGTGCGAGGCTAACTATCGTGCACGTGTGTGAATAAGTAATATGTATGCACATACATATGTGCAAGCGCACATTGCAAGCCAATATTCGTCGAAACATGAATATACTTTCGATTCGTAATTTTATATGCACCCTTTCCATTATCAATTTGTTCTTTGATTAATTATATCTTGTTTTATGATTAATTATATCTTCGTACTTTTATCCACGTTCATTCTGATTTCGAATATCATTAATTATCGTGAAATCTGTTCATTATAGATTTCTTTGAAAATCGGTATTTCAAAGAATTTCTCAAATTTCTCCATAAATACGTAGGAAAATATTCTATTCGCATTTTCTATCTTAAAATATGTGGAATTTTATATTAGAAATTAAAACTGGAAATAATCTGATATGATTTACTGAAAATATTCGATTGAATCATAACTTTCATTTTATTTTCTGCTATTGTTTGTAATATATTTCAAAATTTATATTAATTTATGAATTCCTTATTAGTTGCTAATTTTTTCTTAATTGATTTATAACTTTTATTTCAATGATTAAAAAATAAATACTTTGTCCAAGTAGATTCTCATCAATTTTTCAAAAATCTCCATAAAAGATCGTTAATTGATTTACAAACACGATTACACATTGTTCATAGAACGATTCAAAAGCAGAATATGAAATCCGTTCCTAAATTTCTGTTCAAATTCGAACAACTCCAAACCAATTATCCGCGTGCCAGCATTTGCTCTTCGAAGACGCAGACACGATTCGCAAACAGACATCAAAGAGACAGGGTTGAATATTTCAATGTTACAGCTCGATTTCACTTCGTCTCTCCTCCCACTTGTGCACAGCTGATGATCGGTCGTGGCTATGATTATCGAGTGTGAAAAGCACGTTTGCCTCGTGATCAGCAGTCGGAACTTAATAGGAGAATACTTACTTCGTAATCGACGGTCGGGCTGTAATAGGGCGGTGTGGTTGTTCTCAACGTGGTGATCGAGGTAGATGAGGTCAATACGTCGATGGATCGCTTGCGAACGTTAACTTGAGGCGATTCTACTTCGACCCAATAGGTACTGTAATCCTGCGCGATCGTGGACCTAGAAAAGCATGGAAAATATCAGACATGAAAGATCAACGAGTGAATCGATCTGTGAAAAGTGGAAGGGAAATAAGAGTATTTGAACGAGGTACGAATGACTGATAGAAAACGAGGATATGGTACACTTGTATCGATTGCGATTAATTAAGATAGTATCTTGATTCTTTGAACAAGTGGATCGAAGAAATATCGTGAATTTGATTCGGAAGCATGTATCATCAGTCACAAAAGTTTTCGTTATTTTACAAATAATTTAATATCTATGTTTGAAAATATTCCACGCTTTCAATTTCTTAATTGAAAACAATATAAATCATTTTAATAATTAATACGGCAGTAATTGCGTTAGTGTATAAGTAGTAGTAATAATAGTATAGTAAAATTTTAATGAGAATTAATGGTTATTACTTCGGAAAAATTGTTGTTGTTATTAAGTATTTAGAATGGTAATTTATGTTGTTTGTATTAATCAGTTTGCTTCAGCTTTTATCGAGTTTATTTTCATTTCTTTTCCTGGAATTTAAAGAATAAAAGTAATAAATATACATCTTATACTATTTATTTACACCTGAAACTAGGTAAGTAGTTAATAACCGATCCATTGAAGTCTAGAAATCTTTTGTTTAATATTCACAGTTCCCACTGTCTGAAAGTTTAAGTAAACAGTTCTTGATGTAAATGAATCGCGTGCAAACTTTTGAATACCAATGAAATATCAAGTGAAATTGGAAAGTCTTTAATCTAAAAATAATCACATTCGCAGATACATATGATGTTTTTTCTTTAAATCAAAAGAATAGAAGATAGTTGCTTTGGCTTGTGATGTTCCACAACTAATATGTAATCGTTTCCTTACGTTTCCACAAGAAGAAAGAAAGAAAAAGGAGATATAAGAACGTCGATTCCAACATCTCGACGATAATGTGTATAAATTACGATCTTCCGGGTCATCGTGATGCAACCCATTAGCAGCAGGCGTGAGAACAAAAGATAACAATGTTGAGAACGAATAACAAGCGAGCTTGTAATGTTGAAAAATCATTTCGATAGCAAAAATGAGTTTCAAATTCGCGAGTGAATCGACGAATGAAAATAACGAGATGACAAAAATAAGCGAATAATAATACCATATGTCAAAAATGGAATAAATGATTATTTATGGCTATCGATATAAATTTTTGAAGATTTTAATGGAGCCCGCACTATTCCCTATATTAATTAAGCATTCAAGAATAATCAGTGACACCGATTACCAATGGAAAAGTTTATAACGAATGTCCAAACCGTTTCGCTGTTCACCGTTATGCACATTATATTGTATTCCGTGCACGAGAGTAAGTAAGCCCCGTAGCACGAGGCACGGGGTTTACCTATGTTTGTTCCTAATCGTAATTCATATGCGAACAGACAGTAGCATATTACGTGCGTACGCTATATTCATACATATATCTTGTTCATAAGCATGCAGACATCTTTCTTGTGACAATTACCTAGAGAAAGTTATAAAGTTATTAATAAATTCCATTAAATTTTATATATTTATTTTATACTATATTCGAGAAAATATGTTACCAAAAATGGAAGCAGCAAATATTCATATATTTATGAACGAGAATATACATCCTAAAACCACGTTTTATTCTAGAAATTGATAAAATGACTCGTCAATATTCTGTGAATGAATTTCTTATTAACTCTTCCAGGTAACTTCTTATCTGATTAAAAGCTGACTAATCCATTGCAATGAAAGATATTATAAATTATAGATAATATTTTCAAAAGATGAAAACGAAAGAGTTTTTATAAAAAAAAAAAAATAAAGTTAATGCAAACTAGAAAGAAATAATAAGTATCATTGAAAATACAAAATCTTTAAATTGATTTTGAAAAAAAATCATAATAACATTATAAAAATATTTAATGTGAAAGTATCACATGATTTTTGTGATTCGATATACTTGCTTCCGCATTCCTATGAATTATTTTTTTGCTCGCCCAACTATCGTATCGTTATGATACATTTACCGCAGAATGTATTATTGAAATAAAAGTAAAATAAATTTATTTTATTTAAATATATGAATATTATTAAGATACGTTTAAATCATACTATCGAAATTCTCAGAACATTTTTCAATAAAAAAAAAAAAAATTATCAATGAGAATTTTAACTAAATCAAAAGTAAATTGATAAATTTGATTTCATTGAATACTCACTTGAATACAATAGTACCCTCGTAATCCACAGGTGCCTCCCAATCAAATTCAAGATTGTGTTTCTTGCTGGTATTCGTATGAGTCACCGCGTTCTTAACAAAAGAAAAAGGAAAAACTATTTAATCGTCGTGTAACATTTTGCTTCTGTCCTTCGGAAAACGCATGACAATCAAACAGCCTTGAGGAGCTTGTTAACTTAAGATCGAACGTACGATTCTGCAAATCATTAAACTTCTAATCAGAAAAAAATAGTATCGAATTTTTAAAAACTATTTACCTTTTAGATATTGATAAAATGGGTCGATAGATCACTTATTTATTACAACTATTATTTCTATCATTAGAAAAAAATAATTTTATGAAAAAAAGATATAAAAATATATCAGAAAGATTGAATAAATTTTTCATTTCAAAAAAAAACACCAAGTTTAAAAACTTGTCAAATACGTATCTTTAAATTTTTTATCTTATCTATTAGTTATGTGTTATTTATTTTACACGTTATTAGAACTGACTCGAAAACAGTAAGTTTACGCGTACAAAACAACAATGCGGTTTTACCTTTACACCTGGTGTGCATTCGACAATTCTTGCTGAATCGGGCAAGTTGGCGAACTCTCCAACGAATTCACCGGTCTCAGAGTCACGTGCAACTATCATGAAACCTTCGTAGGCAAGACCATGAGGACTTCCTAGAATTAAGCGGACTCTACCTTGTCCTGCAGCTGGTAAAACTTGGTAAGGAGGAGGCTGAGTTTCCTGCTTCGTAACTCCAGGATGACGAGGCAACAGATCTTCGCATGAATCTACCGGTGCTCCGTTTGGCAAACCCATCGTTCTCATTGAGAGAACGCTTAGAAAAATTAGAATCGTTCCCTTCATTACTGTAACACACGAATTTTACAAATCTTCCTCATACATCGATCTTCTTTCCAATATAAAATGTAACAAAACTCGCAATTATAGGACAAACAGTTTATATATATAAGTGATATTCTGACGATTAAACTTTTTGCTCAACAGGGGAATTCCCATTCAGATAAATAGATTATAAATCTAATCTGACACAATCATGAAATTTTTTTTTATAATACATTTAAGTTATTAAATTCTAATATTACTAATATTGCAAGGATAAATAATCTAATCAAGGAATTACAGAAATTGATAATGTAACCTAATCGATCAATATTTTTATTCTTGCATGAAATGTTATTAAAATGTTTTAAACTTTCTATGCTTACATTTCAATTT